GGGGCAGACACTCAAAGCAGGAGCTGCCCCCTGGTGGTCGGTGTGCTCCCACAGCCAACCTCCTGCAGCCGGCCAGCCTCCTGTGGTCCCCCTCCCCAGGGGCCAACCGGCTGAAGATTGGGACTGGGCAAGATAGCCCCAATCAGCCCCAATCGCCAGCCAGGCCGAGGGACCCCATTCATGCACAAATTCATGCACTGGGCCTTTAGTCATATAATAAAGTATGATTTCAGTGCCTGTCCTATGTGTGCAGAGTCCTAATACTGATCTTATAAGGGCAAATTATTTTGAAATCATTAGAGGTTTTGGTTTTGACATTTGGGGCATATGAATAAGAATGTCAAAATGTCTCTGATGCAAAATAACAGGCAATTACAGTCACAGGCATTGCACTTACTGGGTATTTCCTCTCTTTGAAGTTCTAGACATAATGGGATTTTTTTTCCAAAATTACCAGCTTTAAATTCAGTGGACAACACCTTTCAGCATGTTATTAACCCCAAAAGGAAAATTTTAGATGTGAATGACTACCCACTGGGATATTGTCAAGTGGTATAATTTTTTATATGTTGTTAAGTAGATCTTTCCATGTTGGCAGAAAAAGTATAGTATCTTATCTAGCATATTTTGGAGAAATAATTTATTTTTATTCTGTAATTGTTTATGAAACACTATAAAATACAGTTTTGTTTAATTTATACTTGTTCAACCACCTAATGAAAAAAAAGTTAAATACACCTCGAAGCTATATATTAGCAAGACTGGTTCACAACCTGGTGTTACCATGTGACCAGTTTGGAATATTGGAATTAATGTATACCAATTTCTAGCCACACCACAGAATTGCTATTGAACATGACCTCCCACTTTTGATCACTGTCCAATAGTAATCCAATAAGACAGAGAGGAAAAGTAGAAATAAGTTGGAAAGTATCTGTGTCTTTGAGTTACTACATAGCAGAGAACCACCCAGAATCCCTATACAAACCAGAATATTTGCATTTGTTGTAGCAGGAAATAAAACTCTGTTTATTAAAGTCTAGTCATGGGCCCCACAGACTGTTGCTTCAATGATAGACTTCATATACTAAGGTGCTCCTATAAGATTATAGTAAAGCTGAGAATCTTCTATCACATAGTGACATCATAGCCATTGTAATGCTGTAACAAACTCATTACTCATGTGTTTGTGATGATGCTGGTGTAAGCCAACCCAATGCGCTGCTAATCACGTAAAAGTATGGCACATACATTCCTCTGCAGGACGTAATACTTGACCATGGCAAACAACCATGGTGCTGGTTTATGTATTTACTACTCTATATTTATTACTATTTTAGAGTGTACTCTTTCTACTAATAAAAAAAAAGTATTGCTAAAAACCAGTATACTCTGCTATGTCAACAGCAGTCTCAGATATCTGTTTTTCAGCCTCTTGACTGTATCATTTTCTCTTGTGCTTGATTTAATCTTGTGTCATTTTATAACTTTAGTGCAGCATGAGTGTGCAGTGTTTATAAAGTCCACAGCACTGAGCAGTCATGTCCCCAGCCCTCACACTCACTCACCTCAAGTCACTGAGGCACTAATAATGAGGTGACTAAATAAAACAGAAATCTGTATCTAGAAACAGGGTTCTGTGATAACAAATCTTTTTGTGTAGTTGGCTTCGTGTTCAAGAATTTTATACTGAATTCTGGAAAGACCTATGTTTTGTATCAGTGACATTTTTTATAAAATTGTTAACTTAGATAACATGATTATATGACTCTCTACTGAAAGCTATTAGGTACAAAATTGGAAAACAATGCCATAGTCACATGTGCTGGCTGATATTGACTATTTTTGTCAAAATATGACAAGGAAGAGAGGAATTAAAAAAAGAATCAGATGATGTATAAGTAGAAAAGAAAGCATATAAAGCTTCTATAAATCCATGATCCTTCCATGTTAGGAAATCAGATGCAACCATAACTCTAACATTTGAAAGTAAGATTTTTAAAGCCTTTGAACAGTGTCAACACTTCCCAATGAATGAGGTGATCAGAGCCTGCCATGGAGAGAGACATTGTGGCAAGGAAGGAATGAGATAAAGGACACTTGAAGGTTATGGCTAAGAAAGAACTTTAAGATTGGTTAGTAAAACATCTTAGTGATTTGAACAGAGTTGTGGGGAAAGTCTACTGCCTGAGGAGTAAGGAGCCCAAGCTAAAAATAGCCTTTAACTTTAAAATGTCTTTTTTTTTCATTTTTATTTGAGAGAAAGAGAGAAACATTGATTTGTTGTTCCACTTACTTATGCATTCATTGGTTGCTTCCTGTATGTACCCTGACCAGGGATCAAACTCACAACCTTGGTGCCTTGGGACCACATTGGAACCAACTGAGTAACCCAGCCAGGGCCAAAACAGAGTGTTTGTTAATACAAATTTCCAATGTTGCCACACATGGTCACTTTCTTCATGAGAAAGTAGTGAGTTTTTCCTTGAAAACAATAACTAAACTCCCTACAGTATCCCTTTGTTTACTTCTAGGTCAAAATTGTGTACTACACAGTTAAACAAACGAGTAAATATATAAATACCAACATGAAACCTTAATGATTTTAATTTTACTGAAACATTTCCACAAGTAAAAAATTCAGGTTTGTTGTTGTCGATGTTTTGGTGTCAGATTTCCTCCAAATTTTTTCTTTCCCATATTTAAATGGAATTTAAACATATCTCAAAATCTTTTCTATGATTTACAATAAGTGATTAGCCTTCTCTTAAGAAAGGTCAAGTTGACTTTCAATTAAAATAAGAACAAACTATGTGAAGAATAGGATGATCAGGGAAAGAAATGCCCCTCTTGAGTGTTCATGAGACACACTTTTAGTAGAAAAGCAAGGAAAAAAACTTCCACGGTGTGCATAAGAGAATGCTGGAGATACTATCTTTGAGAAGTTTTTCCTGTAGAATGTGTCCAATGGCCCTCAAATTCTTGAATATCCTTCAATGGCTTTCTAATGGAAGAACAATAAAAAGGAGGGACAAAAATTATATAAGTCTAGGAAATTGCCTACACTTCTTCATTATTTTGCCACCCTTTTCCTCAATTGTCCTGTACAATATTATTTCATGACTTTGAGTGTTATATTTCCAACTCCTCTCTGCTTTCCTCTTCCACCTGGGCTGCACGACTACAATTTTCCTGAGTATTTGAGACATGCATATGTTGATTTTTCTTTCAAAAAAACAAAGTATCTAAAAATAGGAAGCTATTGCTGCGGGAATTAAATAGCCTTTTGCTTTCTGTTTCATGGTCAACTCAAAGTAAAGATAAAGTGTTCCATTAAATCTCTTTTTAATAGTATAAGTGCCCTGATGAAATTGTCTCACTATACAAAACCATTATGTTAGACACAAATTAAGGCACACACAAGACATTACAATGGTATTTAGAGTGAAATATTTATGAAGTGATTTAAATACTAATGACACAGCATTCCTAAAGGAGCCACAAAATTAAAGGATAAGAACATTCCACACCAGCACCGCAGTCCTTGAGTCCGCTGCATGTTGCATATATTGCTTCTCATTACTCAATTCTTAGAAGTGCAGCCAGGAGATAGAAGAGAAAAGGGATGTGTGGGAAGGAAGGACTGGATTTGAAGGACGTAGCCTATTTACCCTTGACTCTTATAACCAAATCAGCAGCACCTCATTGGTCAAAAATCCACTTATGTAGTGATTTCAACTCAGATACAATCTTGTCATTCTTAATGGAGAGAATGTATACTGCTACTGGATAACTATAAATAAATGTCAGCTCTATCCTGCCATCGTTAATTCACCTTACAACTCTCTGCCCCTGCCATTCACAGCATGTTGGTGATCTATTTATTTGCAAGATAGCTGATATGGATCTAGTTGTCACAGGGAGAGACTAGACTGTCCAGCTAAGTTGATGCATTTCCTTCCAGGTGTACCTATCTTATCAAGAACAAGTCCTTCCCAGATGTCCTCCAGCAGACTTATCCTGGTTCTCATTGGCTAAGTTTGGTCACATGTGCATGTGAACTTGATCAGTACTGATCCATCTCTTGTGTTGAGAAGATTTCCTGAGCACATGCACCTACAGATGGCAAATAATAAAACAAAACTGACCTATTGCCCATGAGGAGGAAGAAGCTGAGTTGCTTTTAATTAGAAAACTAGCTGTAGTTGTCGTAACTCTAAAGCATTTTTTAAAGTTAAATAAATATAGAGAAGAAATCAGAAAATCATAGAATTGAATGACTACATTTTAAATCTTTGGTCAGGGTTGAGTATTATAAGCCATTATGAAAAATTAATAATTTACCAACTCTTAACTTATTTATAATTCCAACATTTGGTAAAGTGATTTCTTTTTTTTTTAAAGATACATTTATTCAGCGTCATGATCAGACTATTACATTTAGCAATCAACAGCATGGGTGCAAAGAAAAAAAATCTACATTAAAACCTTTGGTTGGAATGCTTTACACTTTCCACAGAACAGAAACTAAAATAACCTGTTATACAATTAGTCACAAATACAGTCCTCGAGTTTTTTGCCCATTCACATGAGTATTTGTCTAACACATGTCTTCTTTGTAGCAGCTAGGCCCTGCCACCACTGTGCTTGGCTGAGTTCACAAATCTGTTGTAACCTGTAGCTTCCCTGTCACTTCTCTGGCTCTCCTCTCCTGCTAAGCTTTGTTTCCTGGCAGTAATTAAAACCTTCT